TCTATGATTCTATGATATGATTCTATGATTTTGAATGCTAGTAGACATAAGTTCATCTGAAGTGAAAGCATTTTACACCAGCTGACTATCTGTACCTTCACAATTGTAAAGCCCAATTTGTTATTTATCTAAGGGGAACTGCACAACAACAATTTGATAAATTTACTAATGATGCTTCATGAACATTTACTAGGCTGACAGGGGTAGGAGGGGAGACGAAAGAAATGTAAGGAAAATACTTTGGATCTTTTAGGGAAAGAATGGATTCAGCAAAGACAGAATGGCCAAGGCTGGTCAAGAAGATTGTAAAATCTCTGACAAAGTAATGCTACAGAGAGCTTCCATTCACTTCCTACATCCTTCTTCATGTACTCCAGTTGTCTGTTGTTTTATTTGTCCCTGCTTCACGCCCATTTAGTATGCCCCATGCCTGCAAGACCTCCCTGCTCCTAATATGTAGGTGTCAGCATGACCGACTTGTAAATTGTGAGCTGTGGATCAGTTTGCACCTTGAACAGCACATTGTAGCTGCAGATGGAGTTCTACCCTGTGCATGCAAATGAGGTAAGAGTCCCTGGAAGTGAATGACCTAATGCGGCTATAAAAGGTTTAAGGTCATTGTTAGAAAAAATTTGGAAGTTCCTGATTTTTCCCAACCAAGTTCCTTTAGACATGGTTGAGGTCCTGAATTCTTATTGCTGTAAGAAATCTCTCTGCTTTATAAAGTACAAAGTCATGTCCTGAGCAGCTCTAACCTGAAACACTAGAATGCCTGTGTTGGCAACAGCCAGGTTGATTTTTGTCCCTTCCCTGTCCTTGGCTGGATGCAAGCGTATTCCATACATCTCCAGCCGACGGGCAATCTCCAAAAGCTGGAAGTCAGACTCTGCTGGTGTCTGTCCCCTTGAAAAAGAAAGCAGAGAAGACATACAAATTCTTCACACCTTTTAATAGAGATCAACAGGTCCTCCAGAGAACAAAGAGACATTTCATCAAAGAGACTGAAATCTGTCAGAGATATAATATATGTATGATTTTTCTGTGTCCCCAGATTTCTATCACCTAGAACAACAATTTTCTCTTAGACTAAACCAATACCAAAGAATCCACAGATTTTATGGCCTATTAGAAATTTTGATCACTCCAATTCTGAGACACCTGATACAGCCAGATTTTGAACCATTAACTTTAACACAATTCACTACCTCTCTTTATATTTTCCATTGGAAAAACATGCTATATTCCTTTAAAAAAATATTAAATCATAAACAGAAGTATGTAAAGATGTTGTTCACTATAAAAGTGTATGCAATACCAAAATGAAGTAAAACAGAAGACAAGAAAGCATTAACATAAAAGTTGGGAACTCATAAGCACTAAATTAATCATGACAAAATTATGCAAGTATTTATCATTACTGCTATAGAACTCCTTACCACTCACATCTAATTCAATGTAGTTCAAAATGAAACTGTTCAAGTATTGGAGTGTTCTCAAAAGCAAAAAAAAAACCTTTCTACATCTTATTTGTATTTTTTTTAACCATCATCTTACTACTAGTCTTTTCTCCAGGCCTTAGGATACCAATTTGCACCATCATCTTAAATTATATTTCCCCCAAATCCCTAATTCTGCAAGCACTTTTTTTTGTTTAACTGAAATTATCATTAAACCCATTCTTCACCCATCTCTAAATACAGTGTGGAAAGGTGAAAAGGCAACATTCAGTGTCCTTGAAATCAAGAAGACTGCTGTCAGAAGCGCCTGACTGATCAGTCATCATTTCCAATCATACCTGCATGCACAAAATCAGTAGTGAAGCATTCTGTAGGAAATAGACTGTAAAATAATGGCATGCTTGAATGAATATAAAAATCAATTGCTCTTTAAACATCTTGTTATGATGACAGGAGAAAGGCAGGAGTAACTTTCAGGAAATTCATAGGCTTGAACATTTTTTGAGAAGTAACCTTTGAGAAACTCAGAGGTCCAAATCTCTTTTGTGGTTATGATCTATCATATATTTACAGTTAGAACTACTCTAAAGGAAAAGAAGGCCAACAATAAGAACAAAAACATCTTACATGTGGCTACGGTGAAATTCCATGATTTTGTCTTCTAGTGCTTCTTGCTGAGGTATATACTTGTTCTTCGCTAAGTGTTCACGATCTATGGTTTCATCAAAATCTCCAATCTCAGCTATGGAGAATTTTAAGAAAAGTCTATTAAAACATTGTGTTAAATCTGAATTATTCGGGCATTCCAAAAGGTGCAGACAGCTGGGGAGAGGGCAGAGAAGCAAACATAGTGTCTTGCAAGCTGTGTCATGGTTTTATGATTCAGATTCCCGCTACGTTATTTTCCACACATTCTTCCCTTCTCCTCCGTGTTAGTATTGAATAGGTGAGAAGAAGCACAAAGACTCCTCCCATCCACCACAACCAAGTAGCTGTTGGACGTCGACTGAACAAATGAAGCCAGCACAGTGCTGCCTTGACTTGTGTGTGGGATAACGGGGCAGGAGGTGACAGGGAGGACAGCACTAATCCCACAGAACTCATCCATCTCTCACACACATGGGGTGCTCAGCTGCCTTTCCGCAGAGCAGCCAAGCACAAGCTTCCTCCCCCAGCCCATGCCCCACGGTGTAATCTTTGGGGAAAATCTGAAGAGAGATGGTTTTGTTTGCTTGTTTGAATGTAGGCATGTATTCCACCTCATGGGGTTACGAAACATTTGTCTTCCTCTAATTTTGCAGCAGTTTGAGACACATTCTGTCTCCCTCCTCCTCAAAGTCGCTCCCATCTGCTGCAGTTATTCAATACCGTGTGTGCAACAGTATGTCACACCCACCTTCCATTTTGCAGCCCATTCAGTGAGATTTCCTTTTTTTTGGGGGGGTGGGGGGTGGGGCACAGTGGGGAGGGGTAGGCAATCTATGTGTGGGTGCCAGATTACTATCTTGTTGCCTGCTCTTCTTGGAATACCTCTGAAAATCTTGCTATTAGCTTTTTCACTGAACAGCATAGCAGCCTCTGCCTGCAAACCTGCTGGAATAATATCAACAATGCTACAACAAAGGCTGCTACCTTAATAACATCAGTGAAATTAAAATGCAGCACCCTCAAATTAAATCCAGGTTGCAGTCAAGACACGTTGTTGCACAGTTGACCTATGATGTCACAGACCCAAGCTTAGATCCTTGCCTTATCCTCACCTCAGTTCTGCCTATGTAAATGATCCCTTAATCCAGTTCTGTCCAAAATAAGCTGGTTTAGAAAACAGAAAGGTTTCAGATGATGTTTAAAACACTGCGGGTGATTTCTGACAAAAGTTTGCCTGGGATCAGATGTACCTGCAAATGTGGAGGGGGAGCAATAACCTTGTGTAGGCAAGGAAGATGAGGACCAAAGCATCTATAAATGACAGAGCAGTAACCTTTCAACCCAAATTGCCTGCAGCCACACAAGGTGTTTTTATACTGTGGAGGTCAGAGATGGAAAAGAGTTGATAACTGAAACTGACTGATTTCCACCCCCTCCCTCATTGCATCTGCTCCGAATCATTCCTTGAGACAGCAGAAATACTATAGAATCTTTGAGAATTCTCCTTTGTAAAATCTCCCTTTCGTCTCCACCTCAGAAACAGCTCCCTCACTCCAGTTTTACTCGCCCCAATGTCACAAATCTTTAGGGTGTGTTTTTAACCCTAACTCAAATGAAAGGCAAGTTTCTCTTCTTTACTGAAGCCATAAGCCCACCTAAGTTTGCAATACCTCAAATAATGTGGGCCTTGATTCTTTAAAACGCAGCTCATACCCTGTACGTCCTTGTACATGGATGGACTTCAATCACATTCTGTAGGGCTTTCTTCAGAGCCTAGAGTACCAGAAGACTCCTATTTCACCGCTACATGATTTCTATAACGTTCTCTGCATTTGTCAACTGCAAATCCACCATCAAAATTGTCCTCCTGGCTTTCAAATTACTTCTGAATTTGTTCTCTCTGACCTCACGCTCAACAGCTTTTCCTTCTCTCCTTAGCCCCCTTTTCCACCTTAAATGCCTTTCTAGTAGCACTCCCTCTAGAATGAGAGGGAGTTCTATTCTGAATATTGTCAGCCTCACATACAACTCTTCTTTAAAATCTTTTCATGTGTTTTAGCCTAAGATTGATTTCCACTGATGCTCCCTTTTCTCTTACCTTACAAGTGTGTTACACCACGCTGTATTCTGTCTGCATTAGCACTTCTGATATGGCTCATGCTTTGTATTTCAGCTCTTTTCCTTTAAACAATCCATCTTCTTACTTCACACACTTACTTTACTGCATCATTTGCGGTATCAAAGTGCCCCCTCACTTCTAACACTTTCTGTAGTGCTTTTAAGGTTTTTTAAAATAGAATGTTTCAAATATAAATTTCATTCTGTAATATACATGCTAATTTAACAGAAACCTATTTGCTGTCATATTATTATTTCATATAAATAACAGTCTATAACATTAACATAAGCTTGTATACATAATACAATGGGCCTCCTGGAATCAGATATCCCCCATGGAAACCACTCGTAGGCACAGCATCGATAAGACATACAATACCTAACCTCCTGCATTCTCAATCTTTCCACTTTGATATCATTACTCTTACCAGCTGTCTAGTTTTATTTTTGTTACAAACAAATATGTAATACTTCTTTAGCTACTGAATAGGAAGCCAGAAAGAAAACAAATACAAAAGACAGCCCATGTGGGTAAGATACAGCTATAGACATTTATCAGAGAAAATTTTCACAGAAAAATGTTCATGAGACACAAGATGGATAAATAAATGAGACAGTCACAAAATTCTAGCAGAGGTTTCTAGCAAACACTGTTACACAAAAAAGAGAGAGGGGAAAAATCATAAACAGCAAAAGAAAAAGGTCCATGATGGGGGGAAACAGCACTGCAGGTGCACCATGAGGCACAACATCCCTCCGCCCAAAATGGCAGTTCAGATTCTGTGAATACTCACTTGTGCATGACGAATCTCTCACCTCTCTCCTTCTGACATGATAGAAAAACTCCATTTTTCAGTACAGAAATATCTTACCTTACTCTCCCCATAAGGAGAGTACTACTTGCATCCTAAAATCTCAGTTCAGTATCACTCTGCACCTCTAGCTCACAAGTGAAAGGGACAAAGAACTAGAAAGATTTCCAATGCATCATGATCATTTCCAGCAACTGAGGTAAATTATTTTATCCAACAGTATAATGCATCTCAGCAGCATAAGAGCAATGGTGGGGATTTGCCATTTTTGCACACTTTGAAATGAATACTTCTTGCTGGCCTGCATGGGTGTGTCGGGGGGAATGGCCAGCTGTATAACGGAGGAATTTTGAAAAAAACAATGAATTAAATTTGAGTTTTACTGTGGGGAGAAGGGAAAGAAAAAAAGACAGCTTGTAAAGGTGAAAGAACATGCTGTATTTTATCCTCTTATGCTGTTGCTTTAGGAAAACAAGCTAGCAGTTGCACTCTGCGCAGTTCAGACACCAGAGCTGTAGATGGTTCAGTGAAGAACTTAATTGAGTAATCAAAAAGAGATGAGTAAGACATGAAATAGGATCTAAGTAGAAATCATAAGGAGAATAATGCATATAAACTATAAGAGCTTAAGACAGTATGATCATGAAGTAATACCTCAAATGAAGAGAGATACATGCATTAGGGTGTCCTCTCCCCAACATCTTTCTTTGGTGCACAGGCATTTAGAAGGAAAACTCACTCTCATAGAATGCAGTGTAACAAATGATACACAATTTCCCCCAAATGATCAACGTTTTTTTTCCTGAGATGAAAGGAAGTTAGAACTACCTTAATCAAGGAAAGAACTACAGTTGGTGTGCTGGACACCACAATGGGAAAAACTAAAAGACACGAAAAGCTTGCTAGGCAAGGATCAATTTTTTAAAGAGTCTGTGCTGCAAAAATACTTGGTTTTAGAATGGTATGAAGAACACAGAATTTCACAGAGGCTGTTGTACAGCTTCTTATTACCACTCAGTCCCACTGGGCAATGATGACCATGGCAAACAGGAAACCATTCAACACCTGCCTTTCCAATAGCAATTGATGAAAAACTGCCCTAACACTCAAACAGACTATGACGAAGGATAATGAGATTTATCTATTCATCACTAAAGAGCTTCTGAACGTCTTTGTTGACTGCAATTTCCATACAACAGCATTTCAGTGGAAAAATGCAATACTGAATTGTACAATGACCATTCAAAACAATGGTCTAGTATGACCATTATATATACTACTAAGTGGTTTTTCCTAATATTATTCTCAAGATGACTAGCTGTAAAGCCTTGAAATGGAAAACATACAGTGTGTTTCAAGTGATATGGAAGCTTAAAGAAGCTTTGATGTAATGAACAAAGTTAATGTATGATTCCACTGAACAGTCTTATTGTGCATACTTTGCAATTAAAAAAAAAAAAAAAAAGCTTAAAATCTGTTGTCTTTTCCTTCCCTATCAGTTCCTCTTAGGACTATGATTTAGTCTGGCATTCTAAGCATGTTTGTTTACTATGTTCTCTAGACATCATACAGATCTCCAGGAATTTGAATGCTCTGCTGACAAAGTATAATAAAACAGGAATTCAGAAGAATTCAACCTGTTTGCCACTACCTGCAAAGTTTGCTTTTTAAATGATCCTAGGCAGACTATCAAATGCAGTGTTTTAAAAATGCAAATCCAGTCTCCAGGGGCTCTTCTTTATTTGAAAGAATAAATTATCTGTATTTGAATGCCATTATACAGAAATATAATTAATTGTCCATACAGCTTAAACCTGTCCCTGCAGCTGCTACTTATAGGTACCCCAGCAAAGCATGTCCAATCAATCATCCTGTTTATCCTCCTGGAAAGAAGGAAAAAGGGAACTTACACTGTACTATGTGCGAGATTAAGAGGGCAGTGCTGGTATCATTACAGGTTAGCCTTCCCTGTGCCAGGTCCTGCTTCACTTGCAATGCAAATAGGTACCTGCAAAACCAAAGTGAACAAAGAGTTACGCAAAACATGAGAGAAAGTATTTCGACGCCAGCTGTGGTTCTGACTACATGTTCCTTTCACTTTTTGGAATCTACAGAAGTGATCTGAATTTCCCAAGTTTAGAGGCTAAATAAAACATAATAGATACTGAATTACAGCCATTAGAGTCTTAGATGGTGGCTGCTTTGCAGAACCAAGATATCTCTCTCTTTCTCTCTCCCTCTCCTCCTTGGAACCGGAGCAATGAGATCTGGAAGCGATATGACAGTGGAAGCAAATGTGACAGCTATTAAGCGCTCCACAACTGCACAGCAAGCAGCACTAGATAATGGAGCTGCTTGTAACTATGAAGAAATGCCAGATAAACCAGTGATTTCAAGTTATCAGTTAGTTCTTGCAGAACACGAGGAGAACTCTAAAATTCCACCGTAGCACTCACCTGGAAATGAGGAGCAAGATCTTGATCAAACAACTCTAGCTAGCTCTGATACTTTTGTGGCCCCATTACCTGCACTGCCTGTGCACCAGCCATTTTTAACACATTTGCTTCCAAACCATCTCAGCCACGTATGCCAACTCTACATAGAGAGTGTAAATGCAGAGACATCACAGCTGCACAACATTTTTCCAATGTTTAAATTTCTTCTAGCTTCAACAGGACTTGAAATTGCTTAGTTCCACTCAGCATCAAATTCTTCCCTAGAAAAAAGTGACCTAGCAGTAAGCATTTCTCCTATATGAAACCTGAACTAGTTAGACACCTTAACAAGCCTTCCAAAGACTGCACATCCTCTGGAGAACTTACACTAGGAGATCTCAACAGTTTATAGCAAGACTAGATTTTAATAGGTTCAGTGAAAAGTTCTCATTTGAACAGTGAGTTTCTGAATGAGGAGATGTAGGTAAATTAAATGAAAAGGACAAGCTGAGTACAGAAACATACACAGTACATGAAATAATGTAGCATATCTAAATAACGTGCTTTTGAAACCTGGAGACATCTGCCTACCCATACAAAATTCACCCTAGTAGAAGAATACAGCACAAAAATATTGTATTCTCTGATTCTCCAAGTGATGAAGCTGCAGCCTGTGGATATGTTTTTGCATCCTACATCCTACACACTGCTGCGTACATATATTCAAGTTCCCTAGCATATCCATTTTAAAATCTAACCAAAAAAGTCATTAGGATTCAGAGACATGTCTCCAGGTGCAGAAAGAGATCACCAAAAACCAATTTACAGTTCACATAGTAAGCAACTATGTGATATGCAGAGTATCTACTTGGAAACAGAAATGTTTCATTAGTACCATCGCACTGTGAGTTTTCATTCATCCCCTTTATTGTTTTTACTCAGTCTTTCAAGTAAACATTCCTTCTTCCTAACCCACTTTTCTACTTTTCTCTGGCCAGGCCATCAAGAGATATCAATAATTTCTTTCTTTCCATTCCATTGTTCTATTACTAAAATAAAACAACACAGAACACCACAAAGGTGGACTTGTTCTTTATGAAGCAGGTCATAAGGACACAAGAGCTCTTTGTAAAAGAGGACTTCATCTTGTGAGAAGATTGAAAGTAAAAACGAATAATGAAAATACTGACTCAGAATGGAAAAATGTAATTAAAAAATAGTAATATTGTAGATAAGAAAAAAGACTTGAAAAGCTTCCTGCTAATGAGGAAGAACCTTAACAGGTCCCTCACATACATATTTACTTATAGAGAAACATGACTCTTCATGACAATGCAGTGTGAAATTCAAAGCTTAAATGAAGTTTTTGAAATGCACTGAAAATAAACACACCTGTAAGGTATTCTTTCTGCATACATTTGTATCTTTCTCTACTTTCCTCTCACTTTTCATTTTGTTCCCTCTCCTTTTCATTTCTCTATCTCTGAAGTCACAGTTCTACCTGTGCAAACCATTGGCACTTGCGCTGGCTACAGGAATAGGATCCAATGCTGCTGCAACTTGGTAATTCATACAAAACAACTCTCTCCCAAAGATGGGTGCAGAGTCGCACGTGTCCCTCAGCAGAGGAGTGCCCCAGGGCACCAGCACTTGCCTTAGGTCCCTTCCAACACCCCTGCCAAAGGGGCTTGGAGAACTCTGTTGCTGAACTGGGTACTTACTCTTGGGGTAAGCAAAGCTCTCCCAGGTCCTCAAATCCAGGGAGGCAAAGGACTTCTGCACTCTGCAGAACCTCTTAGCACAGACTGCAACAGAATCTTAGGTACGTATTTTTCCATTGCATTCAAGGTTGGGGCAAATAACATCAAACTAATACTAAGAGGCACCCATCCATCCTCACACAGTCATCTCAAATTCCATATTCTCCCCTCTGTCCAACAGAGATTTAACTAAAAAAAAAAGCTACTAACCTTGTCAGTTCCTCCTGCAGCTGAGCATGGTCAGGTGGGAAGAATTTTACCACAAATTTTACAACAACGTGCTTCGGTCCTAAGGGAAATGTCAAAGGAAGTTAGCGAACATCAGTAACATGCTGGCCAAATTTTATTACGCAAAATGATGTTCAAGGGGTGATTCATGAAACCTGCAGTGCATACATACATGCTAACCTCCTGTCCTTTGTTAGTATTCAGGTTATTTAGAAATAGCGCAATAAAATTTACGCACAATAAAAGAGAACAGTAACTTGGTGGTGGGATACTCTGCCAAAACCGAGTCTGTTCTTAGTAATTACATCAGTTGATCCAATAAAATATATTATGCATGTCTATTTTCCTTGCTTCAGAACAGGAGGGAGCTAAAATACGCTCTATTTTTCAAATCCACTAGCAAATTACTATTTCTGTTTTAACAGCAGCACATTTATTCTGACTCTTACAAGTACAAAAGGAGCAATGCATCTCTCTCATGAGAGAGAGAGAGGTGCCAGAGCATGCACTCAGACTAATATGACCAGAGAGGCACCTAGGAAAATTTAATCTCAATGGCAAAGCTCAATAAATGAACATATTTCCTGATATTTGTCAGAGAAACAAAATCACCAAAACCTTTTCTGTTCACTTCTACTCTTCCCAGAGCTGATGGCTATTTACAAATTCCTTTAGGTTCCCACCACCCACCATAACTTTCCCTGATGCCCCTAACCCAACTGTTTCCTCCTCTTGGTCTCAGACAGTTCCAAGGTCTGCAGCAACGTCCCAGAGAGCTCTAACATATTTGCTAGCTCCTTCCCAGCAATAATGTCCTCCTCTTCTTTTTCTTTTATCCTGATTACTGTTACCTAGCAATGTCTGCTTCCTTTAATCCTTCTTTTACTGCATGCTTTTTTTTCTCTACAAAACTGTTTCTTCCTGTCACCACTGCCTCTTCTAGTGACTGACTAAACCTCTGTCTCCTACTGGGTCAGCCCCTTTGTATGTTCACGTGACATAATTTCACAGCACACACAGTTCATCTTTTAAGGACAGGACAGAAATAAAAGATAATCCACACAAAATTCAGTGAAGAAAGTTGAGAAGATAAAGATCCCAATTGATAGAGCCCTCATTTATTCCCGTATTCTCAGATCAACAAAATAAATGTCAGCAAGGAAGTACTTACTTCTAATCTGTTTCATAACAGGCTTCAAAAGATCAAGCCACACCTGAAAACAAAAGAAGGAGGTGTTATCATCTCTGAACAAACTACAGCTCGCAAAGGAGCATTTTTCATTGCACTAGTTAGATTTTCATTTACTTATTTTTTTCCAGCATGGTCATCATGCTGTCCCTAACTACACGTGGTGGATTTTCTCCCCCGAACCCTGGAAGATGCCCAGGAAACAGCACTGTTAATGGGCTGTCACCATGGCACAGCTTTTGAAGCAGTACAGATTCGGAGAGCTGAGAAAGAGCGAGGAGATCTCCCCCTCACTTGTCTCAGACAGCAACAGTCATGGCACGCTTGGTCAGGAACCATTCGTTTTATGGAAAGAACAACTGAAACAAGGAGTTCAGAAAAAGACACTCCTATACTGTCATTGTGGTCTTCACCTAAATTAATTTTGAGAAAGGCAAGTGAAAGGGGCTGGTGCTTGCCTTTGAACTGGGAACACCAGGCAAACAGAGAAACAAGAACCGGCACCATGCAAAGCACAGGTGGAAAGACCCTTACTTTATAGCCATGTAAGATTTTCTCTTTTCTATAAACCTAGGAAGATCAGGCCTAGACTTTTTTAACTGGGGGTAGTGTAACTTCTGCATATAGTTTACTTTCATCTGTTTTTTAACAAGCCATTTTTCAGGACAGGGTCTGTGTCTTTCCTTCAGCTTTCAAAAGAGAAGCAGTGGGTGGAAATAGAGTTTTCAGAGCCCAAATGTCCCATTCTGCAGTCTCAGTCAGAAGGGCCTGGGCAAAATATTACAGGAAGCTGAGAGACAATCACGCAGAAGGTAAAAGCCAAACGACTTGCGGGGCTTCATGCAACAGCTCATGGTCCTCAGCTGGCAACTAACTATGCCCAAGATTTGCATTTTGTTATCTCACTAAATTGCACGGAGTCTCCCATGGAGACATCTGGAATTTGTGAAGGAACATCCTACTACTGTCACAAAGGTTAAAGCCATTAAAAAACAAATTAACCCAGCCTTCCTCTAGAAAAAGACTATGTATTGAAATGAATACATCTTCGACCTTTAATAATTTTAGATTATGCAGAGACTGAAACATACTCAAAATATCCATTTTAGAAAATCACCTGAGAAGCCAGACAGGAATAGGCCTGTAATACTGCTATAACTGCTCCCATCCTGTTTGCTTTTTTCATCATTATTAATATGAGTGCTTCCAATTAGCAAAGACCTCACATTCCTGCCCTTTCATACCCACTAATGTTTCTCAATGGAATTCTTTTTATGTTTCTCACCCTATGAAAGTTTTTTCTTTTTTTCTTTTTTTTTTTTTTTCCTGGAAGGGCTAAAGAAACTTGGTTATCCAAGAATAGGAGCACAGTGTTTATCACACGTTAAGCTGGTTCTGACACTTTTCAGCATTTCAGTAACTTAAAAGTGTTTTGTTTTAGAAAGTTGGCATGTACGTAATCTGCAACGAAGGTCAGGACTTTGTCAAGTTTAGTGGGGAAAAAAAATAATCTTGAATATGAAACAGCCAGTTTACAAGAATATGGGAGTAATGTATTTTACTTGACACAAAAAAATAAATAAATCTTCTCTCTCCCTCCAGAGGGAGTTTACGATACAGCATGAGCACACAAGTGCGTCATTCCTTTCTCCACTTTCCCAATCCTCCTACAAGCAAGTTACAACATCCTTGACCAGACTGCTGGGTGCTACAAATGCGTGCCTTGAACATGTGTAGGGAGAAAGGTGGGGCAAAATAAAGATCTCACCACTATCTCCAAACCCAAGCAATCAAAACTTATGGATCATGCAACTCCCACGCTGTATCTAAACACAGCCAATCTGAGACTGGTTTATAAACTGGAAATGAAAAATAATGTGAGGATTCAATTAAGATTCATGTTTTCAATTTTCTCTGGAACTACAAAGGCTAGATTATTTATTTTTTAAACAAAGTTTGGCATTCCACAATAGCGACCAGATTTCAGCAGCTGGAGAACTGGGGCAGACACTAAGTGTGATGAAACTCTGTGAAACCCTAGGCTTGGCAACAGTGCCTTGTTCCTCCTTGTCCCAGCAGGAAGTGCAGCCCTCAGACCCTCCACGTTCATCTCCCATGCAGATCTTCTCTGCTACAAGCACAGCACGCTTGAATGTATACAGCTGCCAGGCATCTTGACATACAACTGTCAATATGTCAGATAGGAGGCCTGGAGCCTTGCACATTGAAACAAACACAGCTGAACTGTGAATATATGACTTCACATACATATGATTACATCCAAACAAATATGCTCTAAATATTTATTTTTCCTTTTACATTGCACTCTACATAGGAAAAGCAACTCATACTCTTCAGATGATATGAATGTAAAGTATGCACGTGTGGTTTATTTCTCAGACACATCATTAACTGCAACTTTTTTATTTGCACAATGTTTGAGTTCTACATTATGGCCATTATGAAGCTCAGCAAGTTTTGAATCCCACAGGAACAGTCACCTCAACTGCGTCATATAAACGGGTTACTATAATTTAAGTGTATATTACTCTCAGAGTGCTGCTCCACATTGAAACAATGATTCATAATCAAATCTCCTGCTTTGGAGATTCTATTAGGTGGTCGAAGGTGTTACTGCCACTGAATCTCACTATTCTTGGGGCACAGCTGACTAGACGTGAGCAACATTCGGGGATTTCTCCCCTTTTTCAGAAGCAAAGATTGGAACAACCAACAGGAACATGGACTGGCGCTCTCAGATACTTGGCTAATATTTCCTTTTGCAAGAGTATGGGCCACGTGAGTTACCATGCTCGATGCATAGAGGCATTTTCCTTCAGGTCAAACTGGTGATAGCCTTAGAGGTTTTCTCCACCTTCATCAGAGGCCTGGCTCCCCCACTGTGATTGTCTGGACATATTTCCAGCCAGTCAATTCCTGCCACTGCGAGGGCCTCCGGCACTGGCAGCACCTCAATCTCTTCTGTGTTCTGCCTCAAGCAAATAAACCATTTTGTTTTCACAAGACTGAAAACTGTTAGTTTACTTCAGGTCTCTGAGCAAAACACAGAGGGTCATCTATTTGAAACTTAATGACCTGTGAAGTAGAGAAGGTTGATCAAATGACCTTCTCTATTTTCTAGAAAACTAAAAAGCAACTGTATATACACAAGATGTTAGCATTTGTTTCAGTTTTCCATACATACATACATCAGGAATGTCAGTATGTCATTATTAACATGGCTACATGGACCCTCTGTTGTAATAGTACTGTACAGTTGCACTGTTTTGAAGAGTTATGTTAAGCTCTCAAGTTACCTAAAGCATTAGCCAAGCATATCTGGCAGAATACAAAACTCTGCAGTAAACTGTGTTCCATGAAAATCCAGGAGCAAACTGTGAAGCAGATCACTTTTAAAGATCAATGTCCCTTTTTTAAAATTTCCTCTTTAATTACAGTTAGTCTAAAACATGATGACCACTAATGTTCAGTTTTAGTGTCTATGTAAGCCTGCACTAAGGCATGACAACAGATTACTGCAGGAGCAGATAAATCCTCTTGTGTTAAGAAATATTGCTCCTCAAAGAAATTTGATACAGATGGACAGAAAATAGATTTTTTTTTTTTTCCCCCTAATTGCCCAAAGTCATCTCCTTTAGGTCAGCCAGGCTACTGGTGCAGAATTCACTGAACAGGCAAGAAATCCAGTATACACCAGAATGTACCGGTCAAACAATCCAGATAACTAGCACACATGCCAGTAGGTCACACAATAAGTTTAAAGTAAAACAAACTTCAGAAAGAAAGTCATTAGAGACTGAGAAGTCATTAGCCTTTGGCTTTCTCTGCTACATGATACTGTTTCTACCCTAGAAGTATTACTGCAATGCCTCAGTGTTGCTGGCAGCTATTCTCAGAGTCCAAAGTGTCAGAACCAGGACACCTGCCTGTGCCACATAGCTCCCCAGGCAGGACCTTCATCAATTTATTCGTTTTTTTTGTTCTAGATTTCTTTTTGATTAACCTCATTATATTTTATCTATCAATTTTCTTGCCCCATGGTGTTCTTCATGGAACTGTCACAATCATTGAATCTTCTCTGTCTGCAGAGAAATATTTTACTATTCCTGCACTCCAAATGAAGCAGGACTGTAAAATCAGAGTTGAGACTCTGCAAGAGTCCAGCCTTTGGCTTCTCTACTGCAACTGATAAAGATAAAATGCTTTTCCAACTTGTCTCTGAACTGGCTGCTACTTTCAACACAGATGAAATCTGACAGGAGTAATCAGGTTTTAAAAACATTTCTTCAACTCCAGCAGGCAAGAACATTTTTTAAAAAGAGTCCTTTTTTTCCTTTTGGAGTTGAGGATCAAACATAATTAAGGAGCAGGAGGAGAGACTAATAGTGTTTATGTAGATGAAAATCAGCTGAAAATTAATCCTTTTACATACCATCATCTTTTTATGATCTGGAAACTCAAGGCCAAAATAGTCGCCTTCAACAAGGTTCAAGTGGTTGCAAACAGCATCATGCAGAACTTTCCCCGGAGCTCTTTGCTGTAAGAAGAAAAAGAAAGCCTAGGGTTACAAAGATGCTTTTAATTAGTGGCAGAAAAATTACTGGGCTAAGAAATTGTCCAGCAAACAACACTGTCAAAACAGTTTACAAAATCAGTGGATATTCCAACCGTACCCATGGGGCAGTTGACAATAATTACATTAGTTTTAAAGCTACAGAAAATACCAATCCATGCCTGGATGACAGCTCAGAATCCATCTTTAGTGCATTTTTATTTTTGAGGGAAAAATACCATGAAATAGAAAAGGTAAAAGTGGGGGACTTGAGATATAGTTTTCTTATGTCTGCCAAGGCTAATTTCTACTGTGAGTTTTGCAAGACAGCTATTTCATCCCATGGCCCTTCGAGCTGTGTCAGGTGGTGCTACCCACATCTGTGTACAAAATACTGAAACCAAAACGCTCGACAACAGACCTGCCATACAAAATGCAAGGGTTTAAGGATTTCCTGGACACTGCTTGATACGCAACAGGCTCAAGTCCTGGGTTCTGACTACATAGGGGCTTATCTTGAGCCTCCTGCTGTGAGGCACTGAGGCTGGTCGCAGCCCGTCTGTGCCACCCCAACAGTTGTTGAGTAATTCGGAGGAGTCAAGAGCAGCCATTTCCTTCCACACACTGAAAGTCTGGTCTATAAAGACCAGATGTTCTAGCCCAATATTAGCTCCCAGAGCCACTGCTTTGCTGATTGTAAGGATTCTTCTCATCAGCACGTCAGTTAAATCCACACCTGCAGCAAATACTGTAAATTACAGCTCACCAGCAAGTCTTCAGCAAAAAACACTGTTTCTGTGTAAAAAGGCCAATCACTGAAATCAAATATTTTTGTTCCTTGGACAAAGGCACCTATTTTAACTCAAGAGGCCCTGAAACACTCATTTCAGAACAAATAATAACCCATTAAACTGCACAAACTCCACCGTTACAAGACACCCATCGCACCCCGGACAAATGCCCTTGCAACTCAACCTACAGACTGGCCCTTTCCCTGTCTGCCTAGTAAATAATTACCGGAGCAAAATAAAACAGTGGTAACCAAGCGAAGAAAAGAAAACCATTAAAGGCAGGCAGTCCAGCCAGCCTGGCTCAAACCTAGGCCTGAACCCAGGTCCTGGCATCTCCAGGCAGTGCCCCTACCAACAGGCTACTTGCTGGTGGGCAGCTGCTCAAGCCCACCTCCTCCCAGATATCACAGAATCACAGACTGGTTTGGGTTGGAAGGGACCTCAAAGATCATCTAGATCCAACCCCCCTGCCATGGGCAGGGACACCCTCCACTAGACCAGGTTGCCCAAAGCCCCATCCAACCTGGCCTTGAACACTGCCAGGGAGGGGGCATCCACAGCTTCTCTGGGCAACCTGTTCCAGTGCCTCACCACCCTCACAGGGAAGAATTTCTTCCTAATATCCAACCTAAATCTACCCTCTTTCAGCTTAAGGCCATTCCCCCTTGTCCTGTCACTCCATGCCCTTGTAAACAGTCCCTCTCCAGCTTTCACTATGCAGTTAGTTTTCTCTTTCACTGGGATACTAAAAAACAAATCCCCAGCTTTTTTCCACCTAGGGCAATACCTGTTTCCAGTCACAACCCTAAGTACAAAGCATCTTTCCAAAGGCAATTTATCTAACATTGTCTAATATGAATTATGAAAAGTAAATACTCAGTAGCGAGGCTTACATCACAGAAATTGAAAGGATGATGTATTTCTAGGGAAGGCACAGGACAGATGTGCCACCGCAGTGGCACTGCCACCCCGGTGATGCAGGACACGATGACTGAACCCTTCAACACTGGCTGGTTTTGAAAGTTGGAAGGGAAAAGCCAAGCTCACCTCACAGGAGCTTGCTGAGCAGGTTTTTGCCCAACACAGTCCCAGTGCCTATGCCACCAGGAAGCAATGTTCACTTAGGTTGTTTTATTAACCGTTTGTTAATGTCAGCTGTAGCAAACATTAGCCTCAGGAATACTGTCAGAAAACCCATCAAGAATGATTACAGATAGGATATGATTGCTAGGTTTTTTAAGCATTCATCATAACCAACTTTACAGTAACTAAAATAATTTATACCAAAATGCCAAATAAGAGGATACAGCGAGGGCAAGGAAAAAAAGACATCTATTTTTCTAGACAGAGCATTTTTGATCTGATGTAATGCCATCCAAAATAACTCTCAAGTCCAAATATATTTAAATACACTCACTTCACATTCTCCAGCTTCATTAAACCAAAAGCATTCCCAATGATCACGCCCAGCCCGCACCGGTCATGGTTTTTCTAACAGAAAGCTTCCCACATTTTCTACTCCATCTACCGTTGTACGTAGGCGCATCCAAACATACATTGTCTCTTAATGAAAGAGCTTCCCAGTAAGTGCATTTCATTTGAGGCAACAGAATAATATTAAAAAGACATTAGATCAGTGTAATAATGATAGTAGTTTACTGCTCTGAAAATACACCTACGAATGATTTAGCAAATGGTCCTGCTCCCAAACTAGTCTCAGGCCTCCTCAGTTTGGCTGGGGCGGCTAGAGAGCAGAAGGATGTGTTTAACAGCCACCCACACAGCAAGAGGCAGAGGATATTTGCTTTTATTCAAGTGCACAACCAGAAACATGGAAACGTTCCTGTGCATATGTATGTATATGTCTTACTAAAGTACCTGATGGACTCCTATCTGGCAAAAACCAAACTCATCATTCCTCACAGGAAATAAATATGCCTCTGGCAACATGGAGATTTTTGACCAACGGGAAAAGAAAACAGAGAGCCCACCTGCACCATCACACCACCCAAGGTTAGCTAAGGAAAACAAGCCTGTCTGATCTCAGACCACAAGTAAAAGCAGCTGATTAAAACCTGCTGAGTGTTTTCATAAAGTTTTTTTTCTTATATGCATTTAGACGATGGAACGGCATTCTTGTAGCATTTATGTCACTTGATATTTTTTCTGGAGTGTGCCTCAGTAACATGAAATGCTTCTTACTCAAGTATTTGTATATAAGATTATTATTTTAAACCCATCTTAGCTTTGATCAGTCTACCTCAAAATAAAATCTGACAGTTTATTCAAGGGAAACGCGGTGCATATAAAATCTGCTGAGATTTAAAGCCTGATGACAATCCAGTCTTGCAGGACCAGAAGGAGAAGTACAACATCCACAAAAGCAGGAACTCTCCGGTCTCCCAGAGATGTTGATTCAGTGCAGTTCCATGACATCCCTACTAAAAAATTTAAACACAATAAATTAAAATCTCAGTCTGCTGGGTATGGAAGCAAACCAGCAGTCACTCAGGTCACAGCAAACATGAGCTGACAGAGAAAGCATTCAGGAATGAGTGCGCCACACCAATGACATCATCCATAGCCAACAGTTGCATCTGCCTTGAATGTGGTTGCAAGGCCTATGGGACAACAGAAGATTTCTCCAGAACTTGGAAGACATTTTCCAAATATCAAGTGTGGCCCTGCTGCCACACCTCACACAGCAAGCACAAAGTAAGCTTCATCAGCTCCTGCCCCATGGTCCCGCAGCTGCACCCATGTCCCACGAGCCACAGGTTGGATGCTTTCCCTGCTCCACGCTGGCATGGGTCTGAGCCATGGGGGCCCATGAGCCCCCCAAAATAGCTACGCATGCGTGTAAGGCTGCAGGGTGGGGAAAGGCTGCACTACAGCATACACTATAGGAGGGCTTTTCCTTACCACAGTGAGAAAGCAGAGGCCCAGTACATGACCACCATGAAAGCCTCACACACAGGGATGAGGGAAGGTCATCAATGTGGCCAAATGTGGAGAACACGGGAAAGGAGAGCCAGGAGACCGATCTGCTCTCCCTGAGCATCATCGAATGAGAGCTTATAACAGTGAGGGAAAAAACTGACCTGAAGGTGAAGGTCAAAGGAGGAGGACATGGCATACAAGTGGGACACTGACATGGAAGATCCCACGACGAAGGCTGGTGGCAAGACTACACCTCCAGACTCTTCACTACCACAGATGCCACAGTGTGAGGTAGTGCAGGAAAAGAAACAGGAGAGTACGGTACACTGGTGGAATACAGCCGTGGGAAGGCCACGTGCAACACCCAGGAGCTGGGAAGCAGCTGCAGTGGGTGGCAGTCCCCTGCTCCTGTTGATAGCCAGATTCTTGTATGATCAATGAAGATGCAGCTCCGGAGGGCAATTCTTCCTACCCCAACAAAACAGCCATCTGACCACATTGGCAAGGAACTTTTCCTTAGCAATACAGCTGTACTATTTCACTCCTGACGACAAGGAGCCCGGACACCTGTGTTACAGGGTTCATTTTAGATGAGGCGAATACCAGCTGCACCGACAGCAGAGAATTACTATTATTCTCTTGAGGTGGTATTTAGTTACACTAAAATAACATTATAAATTCATTGCAGCGAAAAGAAGCTCACTGGTTTCCAGCTACACATCCTTATTGCTTAATGCGTTTTGAACCGGCCTTTCATTTAGCTCTGTGAAATCACATTTAAAAAGTCACTTTACATTTTCAGGGAACGTCAGGCCACTAAGTTCTAAATTATGAATAATGTGCATCACCACATTTAGCTGCAAGCTATGAAGGTACCCAAAGTAGCCTGCTTTACACACTGTGCATTCAACATTTGCTGTCTGCTCATTATTTCAGTCCTACTCAGTTCACCCTCCCTTTACTCCTACCAAAATCCAAAACAGTATGTTGCTTATGATCTTCCAGTGGTGAATATTTTAATAGTTTCAACAATTCTTTAATGTTTTAGCGATCACCAATCATTAAAAAAAAAATCTCCCTCTACGTACTTGTTTAGACCATTATTTAGCACAGACTGCAATACAGATCTTTTTAAAGAAAGAAAGTGCATAGCAATATCTGGAAGATATTCAGGACTTTAAAAGAAGTGAGTTTGGACATATTCCTCTACCCTCCCAGCTAATTTGGCAATTATTTCACAAACTGTCTACCAAA